GGGCTCGAACTCACGGACCGCGAGATTGTGACCTGGCTGAAGTCGGACGCTTAACCGACTGCGCCACCCAGGCGCCCCCCCAGGTCACACTTTAAACAGCACACGCCACACCCCGTCCCCTGGTTACCTACTATCATGGTTAAAATGAAGCTAGGTGTGAACTCATCTAGGCGGCCTTCTTTGACAACCTCAGGCCGGGTTCAGTAACTGCCCTGTGTGCATATTTGCGCTCAAGCACTTGGCACGTCGTATTATAACTGTTGACTTGTGTGTTTCCCTCAGTAGAGTATAAGTTCCTCAAGAACATGGATCCTGTCTTACTTATCATCCTACCAGGGCGTCTGGGTGGCTCAGTCGATTAAGCGTCCGACTTCAGCTCAGGTCATGATCTCACGGTTCGTGGGTTCAAGCCCCGCTTGGGGCTCTGTGCTAACGGGTGGGAGCCTGGAGCCTGCTTTGGATTCTGTGTCTCCTTCTCTCTCTGCCCCTCTCCTGCTTGTGCTCTGTCTCTCTCTCTCAAAAATAAATGAACATTAAAAAAAAAAATGATCATCCTACCTCCAGCTCCACCTTAGCACCTGACACCCCATATCCTGCCCAGAACGATGGGGCGGACAAGGGAACCACCACAATGCCTTTTTCCTTCACATCAAGCCCTCTCTGTCCACACATCTCCTTGATTTTGACTTCCCTGCTGTTATCACTCAGGATGAATTGGAATGTGGCCCTAGAGTCTGGCTTCTCCAACTCATCAGTCCTGCTTCTCAATCCCAGTTCCTCCCACCTACTCCAGAAGATGAGGGAAACAATTCAAACTAGGGGCACCAGGGGGCGCTCTCGGGCAAAGAAGAAACAGGCCCTCTAATCTTGAGTTCCAATCGCAGCACATCGGTTGCCATTGCTCAAGAACCCGCAGTGGCTCCCGATTGCCTACTGTCTCTTAAGATCCAGTTCTTCCCCTATGACCTAACTCCACCCCATCTGTCCAAACTCACACATTACGCACCTTCTACCCGGCTGAATATCTAGCCATGTAACACTTTCTTGGGTACCAGCTGTTTACGGAAAGGTGATGCCAACAGGTGATGGTAGTGGCTAAAACTCTCCTCAAGGCACTCCAAATAAACCTATAATGGAAATGAAAGCAGATATACTTGCCCCATCTCCTAGCCTCCCTTTCAGTCCCAGCCCTCCCCTTGCTCCTGCCACCCGCCCTGCCTGGAAAGATCTCTCCTCACTGTTCCCTCTCTAAAACCAGACTCTTCACAGAAGCCTCCACCGTTCCAGAAAGACCTTCCTGGCTAGTGCAGGCAGAGGTTCACATGGATGTTCCCTTT